CATAAGAACTATTCTTTACCAACGAATAGTGGAATTGACCGTCACATTATAACATACTCACGGTTGAAAGGGCGAGCGTGTTCTGTAATATGACTTGAATTCTCTAGGATTGAACGCAGATTGCTAAAACTAAACCACGTGAACTCATGATTAAGTTTATGAAGGACTTACTATGCTAAAATCAGTGGTTCGATTCCCGCAGTGGACACAACGCAGATAGCCCACTGTGTGGAATGGAATATGTATATTAAAAATTAATAAAGTAATACCTAGTAATTAGCGTGTCAGTCGACAAATCGAAAGGTTCAAGGCTCGATACCTGATATCACTGACCATTTGACCGTCACCGTCGGCTACAGTGCGGAGCACTATTTCTATTATTATTATCATTGCGCCAACAGTGGACCGGTAGATTCATAGTCCGGCATGCCAACCACTGGGCCACACTCAACCCCTCGTAAGAAGGCGTGTAATACGTTTTCTTTCGTTGCTCGTGTAGAAGATAAACTAAAATAGGAATGGTGATAGCATTCCTAAAATCGTCTGCATAAAGTCCACGTATCGTATCTGAATATTGAATTAGACACAACATAAATTATAACCATTTGTTTGTTTTTATTTCAAACGTATACAATGGGCTATTTGTATTCTGTCCACGGCGAGGAATCGAATCCCAACTCTCAACGTTCTATTTCCGCGAACTTACTGATTTATCTCAACATTTTGGACATGTGAAGACACAAGTCTAGAGCCGCCTGGCATAACCCAAAGCCCCCCCCCCCCCCAGTGGCATGCCTGCGGACTTACAACGCTAGAATCCGGGTTTCGATACCAGTGGTGGGCAGAGCACAGGTAGCCCATTGTATAGCTTTGTGCTTAATTACAAACATAACCCAAAATATATGTTTTTTTTTATCATTATTTTCTCATAGTCCTTGCGGACCGTTGAGCCGATGGCAGATCTTGCTCTGCTATCGTTTCTAAAGCTGTTTTTTACGTCAAGGATGCAACCCACTTGACAGCCTTCCCTCTTTGAAAGGACGAGCATGTTTGGTGTGACGGGGATTCGAGCCCGCGACCCTCAGATTGCGAGTCGAGCGCCCTAACCACCTGGCCATGCCGGGCCAAAATATATGGTATAATACCATAATTCTCACGGTAGATGTCCGTGGCCTAGTTTTAAACATATTGTTTGTTTTTAATTATGCACAAAGCTACACAAGGGCTATCTGTGCTCTGCCCACCGCATTTAAACATATACAAAGAAAACACTGCACAGTATTTTCCTTCTAATCTTGTGAAATCAGGTCAAACAAAATGTTGGATAAAGCTACTTGTCTTACTTTGATAACTTTCTCTCTGTCATTAAATTTTTTTTTCACTTCATAGTTTCTATTCAGTTCTAAACAAACAGCTGGCTTCGTAAATAATTGAAGTTTTTTTTATCTTCTGATATATTTTTTTGTTTTTCCGATTTCCTCGCTAAGATACAGTATTTTCCTACAACTTACCTTGAGCTTGAAGGACATTCAGCGGTAACTTTTTGTAAGTTTCCAGCTAGTTTTTTGATTTTTTGTACCACTTTTGTGCCACTGCTGCATCATAATATAATTCTAATTTATAGAAATCTGTTAATTAATATTAATTAA